GCACGTACCCCTTATATTTAAGAATAAATGTAGCCAAGATCCTCTTACCTGTGCTTTTGTTCTTAATTTATTTACAAATAGTTTTGTGAAGTTCCTTGTCAGAGCTGCAATAATCTTCTGCAGTTCCTCAGTGTTGACTTTAAACACTGTTTCTAACCCTGACCTAGAGAAAGAGAGAGAAACCACCAATGGGTAAATGTTAAAATGTAAACTATTACACTGCCCTGAACATGTTATTCTGATTGGCATCTTAGACGTCATTTTTAAATGAATTTGTACATCTAATACTTCCTCTTGGAAACACTTATTAGGTCAAAGTAATGACTTTTTGCATAATCCCGTACCCTGAAAATTAATCATAACTGAATGACTGTGCTTATAAAAACCACGCGTTTCGTCATCAGGTGGGACAGTTCAACCATGCATAGAAGTTGCATAGGCTGGTTACTTTTTCGCTTGAGCAACACTTTCACTAAATGACCTCCAGGTACTTGAGAGAGCACTGAGGGGCTTATGGAGTAAGAGAGAAGTAAATAATTAAGACAGAGAAGGGAAAGCTGCTGAGCCTGTGTCCCCCAGAGCCTGGCTGACTCACTCCATGCAGCGTCTATTGGCAGTGGCTGGGATGGTGAACTAAAGAGGTGGGAACCTGTGGAATTTCCTAGGGGTAACGTGTACTTCTGTGAAGTTTCACACTAACAAGGAAGAAAACACAACTTCCAAGAGGTTAATAAAATCCCCAGCAATAAGCGTAGGCTTTGGGGACATTGCAAGCTCTTGGGTTTCTTCTCACTTTTCATCCTTCCCCTTCTGTAATGTGCTCTGGGGGGAAACTGAGGCAACAACAACCAAAATGCTAGTGGTCCCCAAGCTTCGCTGGACGTGCTGCATCTACTGCTGTGACCACAGAGTGTAACACATTTCTGCTACTGCCCAGTGGCTAGTTTGTATAGTTTATATAGTCTGAGGCTGCTCAGGCAGGACTACAAAACACCTAAGAGCATCCTCTTACCCCAGGTTAGGGTCTCAGGTCCATAACTCTTGCTGAACACCTGAAGTCTAGGTCCAGCATCTGCAAAATCATGTTGTTATGTCACCTCCCTCTGCCCAGAAGCCCATCACCCCAGGCTGACGAATATTTAACTCGGCTCAGGAATAAACCCCAGCGCAGCCAATCCGCCACCCAAACGCCTGCCGGCTCCCTGCCTGGCGCTGGCTTCTGCCTTCACCACCTCCCCAGTCCCCAGCAGGGAAGCGGAGTGCGACGAGCGATTTTCCCCAGGGGCAGGCGGCGGCAGAGAAAGCCAGCTCCTCGGCGAGGTGAGCATTGCTGGAGAGACCGTGCCACCTAGAGACTGCCCAGCGGTAGTGCTCGCTGCGGCTGCAGCCCCCGACTTCTGGGCGACACCGCGACGCGGAGTCCTCTGCGGCCCCTGACAAATATTGAGCGCGTCGCATCCCCGCCGCCCGCGGGACCAGGCGGCGACGCAGCGGCAAGGGCTGGAGATGGCAACTCAAGCTTCTTGGTGGCCAGATTCCAGGTGTTAGCCCCGTGTCTGTTGGCCCCCGAAGTATCACATCTGCATGGCAGGGGCGACCCCAGATGCTAATAACTGCTGGGCCTCGGTGGCCATGTGGCTGCAGAGCACCCCCTGGGCAGGGGCTGGAGGGACAGCCCCAGTGCCCTGGCATTGGCACGGGAGGGCTGCGGCTGCTGTGAGGGCAGCTGTGGGGTGGGAAGTGCCCTCACGGGGAAGCACTCTGCTGGTTGCAGCCGGTGGGTATGCATTTTCATCAGAGCCTTTTCCAACACACAGCTTAAATAACGAATTCATAACACATGCAAAGCCCTAGAAGATCCTGCTGCCAGCAGCGGTGGTAGGGATTTATTTGCAGGTTGAGTGCTTTCACTGAATTTCCTACAGCCCAGTGCCAAAAGCAGACTTTCAGACCACGTTCCTGGGTTTATACTGCTAACCTCCAGAACAAAAAATATAAAGCCCCTTCCTCTGAGGCTGAAAAAGAGTTTAAAGCTTTCATGAAAGCACCAGGTCCATCCCCACTTCTATCTCTTCACCCCTGTGACTTTCATCTGCATCTCTACGGGAACATCCTCCTGTGAGGTGAAGAAGGGCTGGAGGCTGAACACCCAGCAAGGCACCCCAAGGAGACCTGCGTCATTCCTTTCTGGGTGCTGCTACTCTCCTGGACCCCATCACGTGGCATTTTGGCTTGGCAGGGAGCAAACTTACACCAGGTCATGGAAGCTGTTGATATAGGCAGCGAAATAGGATGCAAAGACAGGGCTGTCCCGGGCAGTGTTCCACGCCACGAACTCCTCGCCGAACCTGCAGGAGAAGACAGACAGGTAATGCAAACAGAGGGAGGACTGAGGATGATTCATCTTCTGTGTACATGGTAATGTCAGGAGACACCAGTGGCTGGCCCAACCTGTCCCCTCTGTATGAAAATGTGTTTTCTTCCAGCTGTCGTAACATGCGTGTGCATTGGAGGGGAACAGATGGCAGATAATTATGGGTTTAGGGTGCACTTGCCTGAGTGGGTACACAGCACTTTTGGAGAGATACTAGGGATCTTGGCATATCAAATCTCTGACTTTTCCTCATGCTGAGGGTTTAATTGTGGTTGTGGTACTCAGGGTTATCAGTCTGGTCCTTCATTTCTCTGGCTTTTGGGCCAAAATAAAATGTGCACTCTTAAGCACACCAGAAAAGGATTTAACTCAGGGCTGATGTTACAACAGGAGGTGAATAGGAATGGGGCAGCACATCTACATTTCTTCCTGTAACCTGAGTGTGGTGTGTGAGGTAGCTGTTTTCTCTGTAGCACAGCTTTTATGGTTTTGACAGCTATTTCACAGCCAGTTCTGCACTGCTGGCTAGAGGCTGCATGCTCAGGCAGGCTTTGCATGGTGGTCTCATTCTTTGTCAGCATAAAGGAACTCGCCTGGGCCAGCCTGAGCCACTTGTACCTCAGGTTTGGTTAAGAAAAAGTTTAAGTTTCAGTGACCCTTTAATCTGGGAGCCCTTGCTGCCTCAGGTTGTATTTTATACCGATTTTTATTTTAAAAAGAAAAGAAAGAAAAGGAAAAGAAAGGAGAGAACAAAGAAAAAAAGGGAGGAGAAAGGAAAAAAAAAGGAACATCAGTACTGTGTTCCTCTCAAACACCCATGCAGACTTCAAAACCAAATAGCTGGTTTGAACTACCTTGCTTGCTTATAGTATGGGTGAGAAGTGTCTATCACTGAGCTATTAGAGATGAGGGTTTAGAAGGAAAAGCATTGCCTTTAGCACATGTTGGACCCCTGCCATGCCCCAGGTTCACAATCTGAGAAAGCAGCGCTCAGGCTCCCCACCCTCACTCCTGCAAAATGCTTATTAACAAACTCCCCACTTGGCGCCTGCTGGAGATGGGAAACATCAAAGGTTAATGCAAAATTATTTTTAGTCTTGTTTGGAGTTGATTCATGCTGAAAACCTTTTTCCTCTGCAGACTGCTGCTCCAGCAAGTGGCCACAACTCCCCCAAAACACAGGCCCACCGGAGGAGTCAGATGCGTGTCACTGTGCTGAGACCCTCTGAGAGCCAAAAAATATCCCTAAGAGCATCCCCAAAGCATGTCACAGGGGATGAGATCTGAGGCCACAACATGGGGACTACCAAGCAGGAAAATACCATTTTAGCAAGGGGACAGGTTCCTGTGTCCTTTGGACACTGGGTAGATTTAAAAAAGGTTCAGAGGGTAGCCGAGTTACATGTTTTGCCCAGCTATAACAGAGAGGGTCCTACCAGCCATTTCTATGCCCGTGGCCACAGGGCGCAGGAGAAAACCCTCTTGGCAAGACTCATCCCAGGACACCTAGATCGTGTTTTGCACAAACAGGCTCTGGGTCTAGGGGTGCATAACTGCTTCTTGCTCCTGGCTGCAGCTACAAGCAACCACCATCTGGTACTACAAAGGTGCTGGATGGATGGGACCGCAGTGGTCCCATGCCTGTCCAGCCAGCAGCTCCTTCTTGGAACTCTGACCTCAGCTTTTGGTACCTGCAAGAGTCCCATCTGGGTCTGTTGCTTTGTAGCTTGCTTGTTACTGGGCTCATCATGATCTCTAGTTCTCCCGGGAGCAGGCCCATGCCTGCTTGGTGCCAACATCTGGCCCAGTGCATGGACCTTTTCCCTGCTTTTTTACCAATGTGGGATTCATTTGAAGGGAATGTGCTGCCCGGAGCGGTGATGACCTTGGTATGAATTTATGAAGCTCTGCCAGGCATAGCTCAAGCATTTTCATCTCCAGGCTTCTGCTGACTGCTCCAGATATCTTCGTGTGCTCACCAATGATCTAGAAAAAGGCGTGAAAGATCTCCAGTGAATAGAACAGGCATGGGAGAAATACCCTTCATAAGGATCTCATACAGCTTTGGTTAAGAAAACCTAACAAAAGGGACAAATACTGACTTATTACCAGGTAGTTTACCTTATTTTCTGGCAGTTTTAAAATCATAATCCAGAATGGAGCAAGAGGCACAAACTGATCTGCAGCACAATCATTCCTCCCTAATGGCCCCCAGTGGTGGCACTGACTGGAGCTGCCAGCTGTCCTGGCGCCATCCTCCTCTTTTGGGGGTGTCTGTGGAAGGGATCAATCCCTAACTTAGTGCCCAAGGAGAGCTGAGCTGTCCCAATGTCCCCATGCTGAGAGGGGCATCATCCCTAGGGACCTACACAAGCCCCCTCCTCAGGAGTGATACTGGGGCTGCACAGAGGGTTGGGCATCACCCCAAAATCTTGCTTGCAGGGTGGCCCACCCTAATTCCCATTACCAGAGCCCCAGCTGCTCTCTGGTGCGAGGCAGGCTGCACTCCCACTCCAGCACTTCCCGAGACATCCTACCTATCTGCTAATCCAGTTCAGACCTGCCTTCCTGGTGATCATGCAATGCGTAATATTCCGCTATGGCAAAAGTCACGGCAATAGGCAAAACTCTTTGATTTTCTTTCTTTCTTTCTCTCTCCCCCTCTTTTTTTTTCTTTTTTTCTTTGTATTATTTAATTGAAATGATTCAACCCTTTGAGTGAGGAGAATGAATACAAACCCCTCCTGGATTTATTACGCTGTAGTCCCTAAAACTAGTAGGAGCTTCTGTTTTTTGTACTATTTAAATTGGAGTGGCTGTCACTGCCTACAGGCTTTCGGTGACTGCCACAGCCACGGGACAAAGTCTCTCTTTCAGCCAAGGGGTTTTTCTAACAAACCTTTTCTTTCCACCTTTTTTTTTTTCCTTTCTCTTTCTCCTTTCTAATCAAGGAGATTTAAAGACTTTAAAATCAGTTGCCTATTGTGTTGCTGACACAATTGACAGCAGGTTTAATTTGCAGCTAGAAGGCAAGCAGGAGAGCTAAAAGTTGTAATAAACAGCATTTTCTCCTCTAATGTATTCTGCCAGCGTGTGACTAACATGAATTATCGCAGGAGGCGGTACCTCCATCCCAGAAGGTAACGATCCAGTTTCCCTGGAGCCACAGAGCCCCCCATGCTTTGCCCCAGCTACTTAAATACCGTTTGAATATCAAAGGAGAATGAAGAGTGGTAGAGGTTTTCCTTCACTTCTGGATGAACTTCCTTCTCCCACTTCTCCGTGACCTCCAGTCTCAGGATGTTTTCAAAATAGCTTTTGATTTTCCCCTAAATGTTAAACGTAGGAAGGAAACATGCAGCTCAGGATAAGGAAGCAAGCATGAGTAAAGTTGCTCATTGTGTTTTGCTCTGTCAGCACGTGTGTGAGGTTCATGCGGAGAGGACTTGCTCCAGACCCTGTTGGTCTACAGAGAATTTCAGGAAAAATGAGGAGCTGTGCTGTGTGGGGCCAAGATATTCCCAGATCAAGGGTGAATCGTTTTCCTGGGAGGGAAATATCGTGTCAGATGTTTGACTGCTTGATTGCAAAGTCCTCCAGCACATGTAAGGCAGAAGGTCAGGATTAAAGATCAAACCAGTTCTTTATGGTGGTATAGCCACAACACCATTCAGTCCTGGCTGATAAATCAATCTCGTTGTCAGTGAAACAAAGTGATCCTTCACCAGCATGATGGAGCAATACTGATTTTGTTCAGCTAGGTACTTTGAGCTCACCTTGAGCAGTGCCCTGTGTCAGAAATGGTTTGCAAGAAAATGTCTGAGCCCAGCAAAAAGCCAGGAAAGCTTGTAGTCTTCATCAGGGTCACAGCCAAGGACGTCAGGAAAGACAACTGCAAAAAGGATCTTCCTAGGAACTGAACCCTTAGAATGATCTCTGTCAGGGACATGTCCAAAGTGTTCTGCCTATAGCAGATGTGCTGGAGGAGATTGCACGCTGTAAAAGTGGCAGCTAAAATGCCTTTACATCTGGCTTTGCAATGAATTCAATCTGATGAAGCCCAGTTTCGGTACACCTCTGCCAGGCTGTACGGGTCTGGTACAGCCCCTTTGGCTCTGTGACCATCCAGATTCAGGCCCATGGCTTTGTTCCCTGAATTGTTCAGGACCTTTTTTTGGTTTTGATTAAAGGCCATTCTGTGTAGTGCTGGCAGGGCTCTGCACCTGGCAGGGTAAGAAACCATGATACAGCCATCCAAGACCTCTGCCCAGGAGGCTGAGGCTCCCATACCTTCCCTAGGGGGCACATGAGGACAAGGTCAAACCTCTCACCTTTGCAGAAGTGATGTAGTTGTTTTTCAGTTTATCCCAATCAGCTGGTGTTAACAGCAGGGACAGGTTTTCTGCCTTAACCTCTGGCTTGAGATCAGGGTGACCCAGAAAGAGTTCACTGGAAAGATTCAAATGAACAGATTATGCTGCCTCAGAGTGTGAGTAAACTGATGGAATATTCATGTGGCATGAGCTACATAATTATTAAGCCGTGAGAAATATACTTAAAGCTTAAATTGCAATGCTTGTTTTCAAGCTTTAACAAGAAAATCTTTCCTCGCTATTCAAAATCCTAATTATTCAAAATCAGAATGATCTAAGGTTCCAGCCCACCTTAGAAATCATGAGACTTCTGAGTTGTTTGGACATGAAAAGTGCTATGAGAATTTACTTTTCTAAATAAGCACCCTGAAGCTGAGTCACTTGACTACGAGCTTGCGAAATGCCTTTCAGGGTAATTCCTGTAGCAGCGTGCTGCTTTGCAGTTAGGTGATCTCTCTGGCTCCTCTCAGGTGTCACATCACAGCATATGTCAGCCTGTTATTTTTCCCCGTGTGTTATCCCTAGCAAGGGGAGGTGGCAGAGTGGGTCCTGCTCTGCGCAGGGCAGCCTCTGGAAGGCATTCCCACGCCTGGCCCATGGGCCACAGCAGCACCGCAGTTCCTCTGCAGATGGAAGCGGTGGGTGGACGTACAGCTACAGAGTCTCATTCCAAAGTGTGCTCAGCTGACACATGGCTTTACCACTCACTTTCCCCTGGATTGCAGCGTAACCAGGCCAGCTGATTAGCAGGGTCACAGAGAAAGGGGAGCGAGTGCCTGTGTTTCAGCCTTTGGGGCAAGAAACCTCTTATTAACCTCTACAATTGAATGTGCTATCCTTGCTGTCTTTGCAAACTGCTGTGGACTGTTGAGGCATCGCATCTTTCAGGTTGACGAAGGTGGGGAAGAGAAAGAAGAAAATAAAGAAAATATGCATGCACTTGATGAACACGGGACATAAGTTGCAAGCAGTCACCTGAGAAGAGCAAGGACCATGGCTGAAATGTCCTACACGCAGCCTCCTCATTTGCTTGCCCACTGAAAGGTTTCCTCTTGCCAAACCCGCACCAACCCCATGGTTATGTTTGGATCCAAGGGAAGATTGGACTGTATAAGGTCAGGCTGGTACAGAGTGACTGCTCAGCAGAAAAAAATCTCAGCCTGTTGACAGTGTCCTGGAGTCAATGTTCCCACAGTCACAGTTCAGATTTCCCTGAGAGGTACGTCTGCATGTGTGAAGCATTGCGCATCCAGCTGCTGCCAGAGTCTGCTGCTCACTTAAAGGACACCACAGGTTTAAGTACAAACTCTCTGCCATGACTGAAAGGACTAGCTCATGTGTATATTCAAGGAGTTATTCCCTTCTCTTTTTTTCCATTTGTCTGAATTTTAACATTGGTAATGAGCTTGGGTCAGACAATTTCCTGGGTTTTGGGATGGGATGGGAGACCAGCTACTGGGTTAGATTTTGTTTTGACATGGCTGTTTATATATGATTATTAGCAAGCCCATCTCCTGTGGATGTTGTTTCTCTTCTCCTTCCCATCCCACTGCGTATTTCCGTTGGGTTTTAGTCTGGGAGCTCTTTGGGGCTGTGGTCTAGACCACTGAACAGCTGAGGACACTGACACCCAATGCCTGGACCTTCTACAGGACAGACATCTGTCTCCTTTGGCTGTAAAGAAGGCAATGCCCAGCATCACAGTTTTTATTGCTGTTACATAGAACTCCTGCCTTTATCTCACACACCCAGGGTGCCCCCCTGAGGATGATGTTTGATATCTCCTTACAGCTCCTAGAATAGTCATCCCTGAACTGCAGGGAGCTTTAAGAAGTCCTAAAACCCACAGACCTCCCATTCAATGACAAGACAAGTTTGAGCCCAGAGCCTTTATTTCAGTGTGGCTAATTCCACACAGTGGTGTCTTGGCACCTCCTCAAGATGACTCTGACCCTTGAACATGGGGGGTAACGTGGCCTGTTTCCAAACGCATCACAGTTTTAATTAAACAGGAAGAAGGCAGGAACCCCCCACAGGTCCCTCCCTGTGCCTGGAAAAGTCACCTTTTTTTACCTTGCAAAATATTTGCAGAAATGAGAACAGGTTTAGCAGAGCTGCAAGGAGGAGCTTCCTGGCGTGGGAGAACAGCAAGTGGGAGAGGGAGGGGGAAATGGGCTAGTTTAAATCTGTAAAAAGCAGCAAGTGCTTTATCCACAAACCTTTGTCCCTACCTATTAATAGATTAGCTATCTGGCTCTACTGTGGAAGCATTTGCGTCTCTCCTGCTTGCTTAGAAGATGGAAAATATCTTTGGAATCACCTTGTGGTCCTGCTGCTCTCCAGAGGCTGAGGCAGCAGGGCAAGCATAGCATTTTACCTGCGGTAGGTGTTGGCCACCCAGTCGAGCAAGGTGTAGATCTCGTTGAATTCCAGTGGTCTTTGGGAAAGCTCTTGCAAGTGTGAGGCAATGGCCCTGTGAAAAGCCTCCACATACACGTCACACACCTGGTACTCCTCTGGATAGCACTTTTTTACTGATAACTTGATTTTCAGTAAGTCTTCTTTCAGGTGTTTCTGGAGGAAACCTAAGTGGAGACCAAGCCAAGAACTCTCTTCCTCCTTTGATACCATGGGTACCCTCAGGACTCTTTTTCTAGCACTCTCATTGATAGCTTTTCTCCACTCCTCCCTCCACTTCCTGGGTGTGCCAAGCAAGTCCAGGCTAGGACCAGCACTGTTGTCTATGTTAGGATGAGCTGCTTCTTCATGGGCAATTAAAGTCGCCAAGGAGGTCAGCATGGTATCCTCTACAGTGGGATGCTCCAGTGTTTCCACCACAATGGACTGGATTGCATTTGTGATGCAATTATAAAGCAAATCCACATCCTTGGATTTCCGTATAAACTCCTGGAGGCTATTTTTGTATTTCTCAGTGTCCCGTTCAGCGATGGTCTCATCTTCCAAGTACTTGATGCTTGCAAATGCTTCCAAAAGTTGCCTTTTCTGAATGAGTTCATTGATTTCCATTACTGCAGAAAGGAGGGAGGGAAGGGATTGTGACAAAGCAGGCATTAAGTGATTGACAGGTTGGTAACAGGACAAGATACCCCACAGCGGGGCTTGCAGGGCTGCTCTGAGTAGCCAGGTCCCAGCAGTGCCCCAGAGACTGACACCCGCGATCTCTTCAGCTCTCTCAACACATGAGAAGAAAGCAGTGAAAACGAAATTACTGTAAATTGAGCCACATCTCTAAACTGCTGGTTTCACGGGTAGAAAATATCCCCAAATCTGATTATAGCCCTGCAGGTAAACCTCAAGCAATGGCTAATGAGGCTGCACAGAGGGACGATGGAATCTCAGGGTGCATAAAAACACCTCTAGCTCTGCAAGTGTGGAGCTGAAGTGAGACTGGCAGTGGGGACAGTTTGGGATATACCCTACCAGCAGGATTTGCTTTAGTACGAGTGCCCTTGCTTTCCGGCACACCGGTGTGCTGGGCACAGCTCTGCTGCTCAGTTGCCTGTGGCTCTGGCATCTCTGGCTGAAAGGACATTTCAGCATGTTACCCAGGAAGGCAGGGAGGTCAGGCTGGAGGGGTGGGAGGAAGCACAATAGCATGAATCCCTTCAGGCCTTATGAGCTCCCAGGTCAGACATGATACTCAATCACAGAATCATAGAATGCATGGTCATATCTGCCCCTAGACTGCCTACCAGCATGTCCTCCCAAGGGTCTAGGGTAGCAGGATACTGGCTTGAGGATGCTCCTGATACGTTCTTGAGAATCCCAGTTCAGATTGTAACCTTGGGCAAACCCTGGGCTCTCTTCCTGTCTTGATTGGAAGCACTGGAACAGGTGTGTCCCTGGACACATTCAAGATCAGGCTTAATGGGACCCTGGGCAACCTGATCTAGTTAAAGATGTCCCTGCTCACTGCAGGGGGTTTGAACAAGATGACCTTTGAAGGTCCCTTCCAGCCCAACACATTCTATTATTCTATGATTTTATGCGTTATCAATTTTCCTAAGACGCATGCCCGAAGAATGTCATAGCTAAACTGGCTCCTGCATTTCTGAGGACTGAGCAACATGCTAGTGGAAACTGCAGAGACTATCGCTTGTGATTTGAATTATGAGAACTCCCCGAGATGCAGGGGGGACTGAGGCAGCAAGTCAAAGACTGGTGCATCCATGGCTGACCATCCTTTCTGAAAGATGCCTTTTGCCTGTTTTAGATATTTAGGAGGTGTTCTATGAATTTTTGTGATCTTCAGTCTCTTCTCAATTAAAAAGAGTGATTTCTGGAGGACCAGAGTCCACATGATGGTCAGAGGGCTGGAGCACCTCTCCTACGAAGACAGCCTGAGAGAGTTGGGGCCGTTCAGTCTGGAGAAAAGAAGGCTCTGAGGAGACCTTATTGTGGCCTTCCAGTATCTTAAGGGGGGTACAAGAAAGCTGGTGAGGGGCTTTCTAGGATGTCAGGTAGTGATAGGACTAGGGGGAATGGATTTAAGCTAGAGATGGATCAGTTTATCAGTTTAGATTAGACATTAGGAAGAAGTTCTTCCCCATGAGGGTGGTGGGACACTGACACAGGTTGCCCAGAGAGGTTCTGGAAGCCCCATCCCTGGAAGTTTTTAAGGCCAGGCTGGATGGGGCTCTGAGCAGCCTGATCTAGTGGGGGATGTCCCTGCCCATGGCCCAAAGCAGCTGAGGTCTTTTTCAAAGCCTTGCTGGAGCAAGAACCACTGACTATTTGCCTGTGATGTAAGAAGTATTTGCCATGTGTTGATTTAATCCAAGAGCATTGCTAGCTATTGAGAGGCCCTGGGAACCTCTCATCATCTCCAGTGTCATAACAGATGCTCTGAGTAGAAGATCCTATTGTAATACTGGGCATAAGGCAAATATTAAATAGGAGGATGCTGTACATTTTAGGCATGTGTGGCTAATACTTCTGAGACATATATAAAAACATAGGGGAAATCTGAAGAGCACTCAATGAAGATATGAAGGACTGGTTCATAGCCTATAATTTGTGCCCTTGGACCTGTCTGCACACAGATTTTACACCATATTCACCAAATAATCTGTGCAACATGAAAGTAAGTGCATGAAGACAGAAATACACCAAATAACCCAACTATTGATGCAGCATAGAATGCATAAAGCTTTGAATGCCTACACAGAGCTACAGTTGCTTCTGCACTCAGAAGGGAAGGAGTTCATGCCAATTAACTTAGTCTCTTCTAGATAAATTAATATAAAACCTGTGCTTGCACAAGTGCTTGCTTGAAGGAATACATTCTGTTCTGTTTATCAAAGTGAGAAAGCACCATTTAATCACCATCTAGGATAATTATTCAGGGAGGTGATACTGGGTGCTAAATGGATCTTTAATTTAGCAATACAAGATCAGCCAGCTGGTAGTTGAAGGAAGACAATTGAAAGACAATTAACCATTATGCAGCTTAATAGTGCACATGGTGGAGTCTTGCCATATTTATCTCAGGATGGGATGTGTTTCTGACAGAGCTGCTCTAGTCCAGGACAATCATGAGTTATCAGGTGCAGGATGGGCCTTATTTGTGCATTTCCTCAGCTTGTTTATTGCAGGAGATGAGAAGGGCTTATGGTAACATTTTCTGATGCTCCTTATTTGTCACCCTTCGAGAACAGACCAGCAAAGTTTATGAGATGGGCTCAGATCCAGCTTACCAACCTCACAATGTATCAGTGCAAAGCAGTAATTAATTTCATGGCACAGTAGAGCACATTATACCAAGGGGATAATGTCAACCTTTCTGTCTGATCCCCATGACATCCTACGCAGTAGACCAAGAATTTCTTTCTAGAAATTTAGGCTGAGGAAAGATTAAGCCATGTTGACCCACCTTGTTCTATCTCTTGGTAGATGCATTGCAGTACCTCTCCCTTGAGAAGGTGCAGAAGAATGGTGCTCAAAGCAAGATCAAAGTCATTGTCAGAAAGGTGAGAGCTATGCTGATGGTAGTTATTATAATTAGGACCTGTCTACATAACACTGGTGAAATACATGAGAGTAACCAGCCTGGAGAAAACAATCCTAATACTTGCAGCACCGCTGTTCTGAGAAGAATAGATGGAAAGTCAGTATCTGTGGCAGAAGTCTCTTTGCAGGGCAGTCTCTAAGATTAGGAACTGAGGTGGAGGTGTCGAACCAGATGACATCCAAACCATCTTTTTTTTCCCAGTCAAGGCTTTGCAGCAACCTACAGACTACAGTCTTGGGACCATCAAGCCGAAAACCAATGAGCAGAAATTGCCCAGAAGTGCAATGCAGGCAATAGCATAGGAGTAGCTCACCTGCACTTCTAGATATTGTCAGGCCAGCAGTTCCCAAACTGCACTCAGCAAATCAGTGACTGATGGGCGATATGTCTGCTGATGTGTGAGCTGACAGGTTGATAGGTAGGTCGTTGATGTGGTTAAACTAATGCAATGGAGGCCACAGAGCAGCATGTTCAGTGATAGGTGACCTGCCCCGGCTGGGCCAGGTGACACCCCAATGAGTTCGTGCAAGGGATCACAGTTGTCTCTGAGCAGTAATGGGGTGCTTTGTTCTTTAGCATCTCTGTTGGGCCCAAGACCCACAAAGTGTGAATTACTTAGAGGTTACATATATCCTGCCGAGCAAATTACACTGGTGGTTTTGCTTCTTACCTGAAAGAAGTTTTCCTTGAATGGGCTCTGCTTCTATCTTCTCACCAAGCTCTTTCACACCATTACAGATTGTGGTTTTATTCTCCTCATAGCTCTTGAAGAATCGCAAAAAACTTCTTCTCTTCCAAGTGCCAGTACCTTCGTTTCCTTTCTCTTTGTTTGGACTTCGTATTGATTTCCGGATACTTAACATTGTTTTAACACCTCTTTCAAAGAACCCACTGTCCCTGCTATGCAAAGTTGAGCTGCTCAGTTCAGATGCAACCTCCATCTTTTCCTCTGCTGGACTGTTCATCAGAGAGGATGATTCTGAGGTCACGCTTCTTGAGTCTAACTCTGTATTTCTAATCATCTTGTCTTTCAACAGGGGGTTTTCCAAATAGCTTGATGAAATGCAACTGAAATGCATAGAAGAACAGAATTAGGTGAGATGTTCATAACAAGGTATTATTGTGTCTCAAAAGCCAGTCCTAGACTGAAAATCTGACCCAACCTTTTCTTGCACCTAATGTAAGGACAGAGCAAACTGTTGCAGCCTGTAGCTACTGAAACAATCTCTTTACGCACAGACACCAAGTACTGGCTTGCTTTTAGCTTGGGAAAGCTCTACTTAACTCCATAAATCAGGCAAATCTCCAGTGCCAAAGAATCACTAAGTGTTAGAAATGCTGAAATCTGTGTAAACATACCATTGCAGTTGGTAACAAGATACGCTTTTACTTTCCATCCTTCTAGGTGGAGTTCCAGCCTTGTAGGAATGATAACCCTTCCTAAGTATCACTGAGACTTTCTGAAGTTGACACAGCAACTTTCCTGCCCTGCTCAAGCCCTAACCTGCCACTGCTGGAAGGTGGCCCAGGCGTGAGTGGTCCCCAGTGGGTGGCTGAAGCTTGGTCTAGCCCCTTGCATCAAACCTGTAGCAATCTCCACACTCCAAATTGCCATGGTTACAGCACGAGAGGCTGTACCATGCGGTAAGGGTTCACCTCACTCATCCTGCCTCAGAGCACTGCATCTTAGTGTACCATGAATGAGTACGTCCAGGGCCAAGCAAGCCCCTGCAGGAGCTGTAGGGGATGCTGCAGATTTCAACAGAAGTGCTCCTGTCAATGCTACTGGGCTGCAGTCCCATCCCCTGCACTAGCTCAGCTCCTGCCCTGCTGCAGGAGCTCTGAGGGCTGGTCTGGGTGCTTGGGAAGAGGGAAGAAAGAGAGGTTTCGCATTCCTTCTCTTGCAAAGGACTCTCACCAGGTCACCAGCTGACACAGCCTGCTGACCGGGATGTTGTATGCTGCGGAACTGTGAGGATGGGAAGTGCCACGTTTCCTCACAGCAGGCTCAAGGCATCTCAGCAATCAGTTTAAATCATTATAAACATCTGTTGCTTGAGGTCACCCAGGAACTGCCTGTCTTGGGTCTGTCCAGCTCACAGGAGCCAGAGACTGAAATATGACTGCAGTGAACAGACATGTCGGGATTCTGGAAATAGATCTCGTCTTTCCTCGATCTGAGTTCGGCCAGAGTTTGCTCCCTTGTGCGTGATTATTTCACAGGCTATAAACCGCAGGGACTGCATCTTCCCATGGGTTTGCTGAGCTCCTTGCACAGTGGAGCTCAGAACCTGCGTCACATCCTCTCGGGGGATTATTTAATCATTCGTTGCCTTGTTCAGGAGGTCACCCCATCACAGTCCGTACAGAGGGTGAGAGGGAGAGGAGGGTACCCTGTTTTCCAGAGATTTCAGTAAGAAGGGGTCTTAGTCCCCACCTCAAACCCTGCATGGGGGCTCTGTGGACCGAAGTGCAGCAGCAGCAATGATCAAAAGGGGTGAGCTGCACGGTAGAGGGATCCAGGGAAGGAGAACCTCAAGATACGAGCCCATGGGTAAGGAAATACAAGGGATACATACCCCAGTACTGACAGAACCGATCCTCCCCGCAGCCAGCTGGGATAACACAGGCACGATCCGCAGAAACCGAGCGGCTCCGTGCTGCAGGAAATCCCCGGAGAGGTGCAGAGGTGGATAGGCAGCTCCGCAGGGCAGAGGCTTGGCTGGGCTCACCCACCTCAGCTGATGGAAGCACTGTCCTACTTGCCCGCACTGGCTGAGGGGCTCCCTCCAGGCACCGCACGGCTCTCCATCCTCCTTTTGCCCTCTGGAAAAGGGTGGTTGGAAGTGAAACAAAAGGACTTGTCCCCACCTGCCCAAAACCTCCAGCACCTTCGCTTGTTTTCTCTGCCTGAAAGACTCTGGCACTGTTTTGCTTTCATTATACCAGGGTATTTAAAAAAAGGGAAGAGGGAGGGGAAAAACACTGAAGGAGCTCCAAGCTTTCAGGTTAATTATTTACCCTATAGATGAAGATAGAGGTGCGACCAGAGGCTTGACAACGGGGTGAGCTGCTGAGCTGAGCCGGCCCAGGGAAGCTGGAGGGAGAATAATTTGAGCCCCTGGTCCTGCCCCAGCAGGGCAAAGCCCCACAGCACCTGGGTTCAAAAGCAGCCCCAGAGCTACTGCATGGAAATCAGCACCTTTCACCCCTTTTCTGGAGGTCATTGGTCTCAGTAATGATTGCCAGGTGTGGGGGAGGGCCAGGGGACACTGTGTCCTTTGGTTATATATATTCACCTCTTTGCTCCTCACTTTGCCCTGAGGGAACTTATTTCCATGGAGGTGCTGGCCCTGGATCCCTTCATTTGTAGAGCATTTAGGGAACCCTGGAAGGAACTCAAAGCAAAGGAGCAAAAAAAGGGGTCCGAAAGGTTTAAACAACATTAAACACAGTCACCCAGCTTGTTACTGAACAGATGACAGAACCCTGGGGACCCTGCGATGCCTGGATGGAGGTGAGTCAGGCTGTCCAGCTGGGCACATTAAGCAGTCTCAGGTGGCCGAGGCCCTGGTGTAAAGCAAAGGAGGTAAAATCAGGAGGTTGCTCCTGTGCCATGGAAGCTTTAGGAGCCAGTATATCATCTGTCAGGGTGACAGAGGAGATCAGAAGGTTTAGTGAGGGACTAATGCAATAAAGTCCTGTGGCTTTTGGACTTTGTGTCACAAAGAGGACAGAGGCGTTCATAATCTCCCTTTGGCTGGGAAAGGGAAGCTGTGTGTACTGGCAGTGAAAGTGTGCGGGCACACATCAGGGTGTGGAAAGCCCCTTCAGACACAGAGTCCAACTAAACCACTTTCCATCCCTGTCAGTAATTGCCTCCTCTGCCAGGCACCTGTGCAGGCAGGCTTGCTACAGCTGGGGTGCAACCAGAGCAGGCAGCAGGTCCAACATGGATTGGATCTGATGTGGACCTCCCTAGAGAGCTGTCAGCTACCCCAAAACACAGCTAGCTCTAGTGCCTGCTGGGATGCTAGTAAAGACAACCTTGGAGGAGCTCTGCACCTCACAGTTTAGGCGAGTTCACTCCCTGCAGCTCTTTCCAGTGCTCTGACCCAGCACCAGGTCTCAAGGAGCACACCTGCTCTTGGAAGTGCCATCAGGACAAAGCTGATTCCAGGAGTCTATCCAAGGAGGTGATGGAAATTAAAATTTACATTTTCTTTCAATTTTGCTAGAAAGTCATAACCCTCAAGCTAGCTGTGAGGGTTAGTTTTATTAAAAAGAAAACCTAAGGGTCTTCTTATTCCAGGAGGGGGTTCCAAAGAATGAAAACCCACTGATTGTGGTGAATTTAAATAAAATGGTGAAGCTGGGTGATGCTATAATACATCTATCCCTTCCTACTCTTCATAGTCCCTGGAGAGAAAAGTCTTCAAGATGTTCTGGCCCCTCACACACCACCATTAACAGCTCTGCTTTGCCCTAAAATACTCATGGTCCTTAGTGCCATGGGCATCACATGGACACCAGCCTGTCCCCAGTGAGACAGTCTTGCCAGGCTTTCCAGGGCCATCATGCTCCTCCATCCCTCCCAGCCATCAGGAAGGCACATCCCTCTGATGCTAAACTCATAACCACACTCCTAACTTGAAGTGGATGAGTGAACTGGAGAGAAAAAGCCAATCCTTGCAGTAGGTGGCCTCCAACTGTTTTTCTCCAGCAATGCTTCGGATTACCTCATGCTCAGCCTTTCCTAATCCACCCACTGATGCAACAACAACCACTCAGCATCCTGGCTGTGCCGTAGGGTTGTTCAGCCCTGCCGTCGACGGGAACACGTTCCTGAAAAGATCTGGCCATCTGGAGGAAGCATCATGAAACTGCCTTCTACCCAGAAGCACCACTTTAATTGCCTTTTTGGTCTCGGGGCACAGTCATGAGAATAGATTAATCACTATCTGGAGGTCTGAATATTGGTACTCAGCCTGAGCTAGCAGCAGGCTGGTGGATCAGGCTAAGCTTGGACCTTCCCACCAGGACAACTCAGCCACAGAGAAGACAGAAAAGGAGGCAAAACCACATTGAGAAATCACAAATAAGAGAGAAACTAGCAAATTCAGGAGAAAGCACTCATGACTCAGAGGTGAGGACAGGTATCTTGTGGCAAGTGGCTTCTGCAATCAGTAGCCAGTCTTTGCAAGCTACATTCAGTGTAAAGTTTGCACCCTGGCTTTAATGGAAAACCAGGCTTGATGTCAACTGTTTGGCAGTGTGACCTTGGCTTCTTTTTCTGACTGTACTTCATCATGCAGCAGTGTCAAACTGTTCTCACTCTATCTTTTTAGGGTTAGCCCAATTACTGGTAATTTGCTAATGGTGAGGAGTTACTGATGTCCAGATGCCAGGCTGATGGCAATGCAGAGATGCTGGAAGAGATCCAGGCACAAGGTAAGGATTAGAAGACAATGTACAAGCTCCATGTACATAAATACTTGAATATTTCTGTCACAGTCCTGGCCTGGGACCAGGGCAGAATGGAGGCTTCCACCTTATAGGCTTGCAAACCCATAT